CCCCGCCCCGGCCGCTGCTACCGTTTTCAAGCAGATGTACGTTAAAGCTCCTTAATCTCTGCGAGCACCGACTCTGCCCTGCTCTGCCTGCGTGGGAGCTCATATGGACGCGGTACTTGAGACGCTGCTCATCCTTGATTACCATCTCATCTCGCTCTGTTTCCAGGTCCCATAAATTAGCCTTTTTAGCTGGCAGCGCTCTCCGATCTGATAGCTAGCGGTCTTTTCTCGGCATCCGGCCGTCGCCCGCGACATCGCTAACGTCGTCTTTTCGGCATGAACGGCTAGATGCTCACGGCCATAATTCAGCAGGCGCGTTTGAAAGGGCCTTTCGCTCAGGAGCAGTCCTCGTGCTTAAATGCAGCGGTTCCCCTTCGCTGCCTTGCCTACCTTTCCCCAAATACATCTATCTATATATATTTCTTTTCACTTTAAAATGTCAAGTAAATTGTGCCTGAAAATTGCCCTTTAAGAAGGAGGCTCTCCACGTAGCAAGGACAGGGCGCACGTTTTTCCTGCCCTGCCCAAGAGCTTGCTGGGTTTTTGGTTTTTTTTTTTTTTTTCCCCATGAACTGTTTTCAAAGAGGGTCCGTTTTCATGGCCTGTTCCGTTCGTGACAACATTGCTGAGATTTGTCACAAAGGAGCCTAATTAATGGCACACACCAGGCTATTTTCTGTGACGGGAAAACATCGCCACGAGGAACTGAGCTGAGACCACCGGCTTCAATTCCCACAGCCAGCCACCCAGCCAGAACTGATTTTTCTTAATGGCTCAAGAAACCTCAGCATGGAAAAAGCAACGTCGAGTTATGTTTTTCCATAGCCAGTGCAGAGCGCTGCCTGACGTGGCGTGCAATTGGATAGCAATAAAATGGCGTGTGGAAAAGGGGGGAACGAGGTCCTACCTACCACAGGCCTGAGGAGAAAGGCAGGACGAGGAGGAGGGAGATGGCTGTTGAGCATAAATTGGAGTCGTATTAGCATAGGGAATTGGGGAAAATTGCTGAAAGAGTAAGTAGCTTTTGGGTTAGGGTTTTTGGCTAAACGTTCTCTTTTCGTGTTTTCCCAGTGCTCCTTCCTTTCAGGCTTGAAGAATTGATGTTCTTGTGAAAGCCCTGATTAACTGATACTTTCTTCTTCTGGCTTTTCCCCGCTGAAACTACCAGGGGAAATAAAAAAAAAGCACCAAATTGCTAACGTGTTTTCACACAAAATCCAGAGGAGCCGGGATCCTGAAAGGCAGAAGACGTCCGCCCGCTCTCCCCGGTACCTGGCAGACTGCGTGCGGGCCGGGTCCCGCCTGTGCTTAGGCTCGTGCGAGCTACGCCGTCCGTAGGGTTGTACGGGTGAGGCGGCTGGCAGAGCGTCCCCGCTTGTCTTCAGACGACTGGGGACTAGCAAAGCAGACGCCGTTGAGTGTGAACGGCTTCGCCGAGTCGTTTTCCACGTGTCCAGCGCTAAACGTTTTGCGCGAGGCCCTCGGGCGCTTCTCCCAAGCCGCAGATGTTGCCATCTGGGCCTGTCACTTGGGGAAGCGTGGAGAAATCGTGTGAACTTGCTGCTAAAATGAGGACTTACAGAAGAGGCTGTGCACCTCTGCGGCCGAGCGTCAGCGTGACTCGCTAACCCAAAGCTGATCACCGGAAGGGACAAGCGGTGTCTCTTGCGCGTCCCCCCCCTCTGCCACCCCACCAGGTCCACCTGAGCAGGCAAAGCAAGCCTTGAGTCCTTTGAGCGAGGCGGGGGCAAAAGACAGTTCTCCAGAACGGGTGTTTGGATGGTTGCGACTCCCCAGTCCCCGGTGAGGAGACCCCTTTGAGAGCCAACCTGCAGGTGTTGCAGAGCAAAGAGATGGCTGGGACCATTCGGGAGGCCTTTTCCAGTCGTAAATCTCTGCCCAAATAGGTGCACATATTCCTTCCTGAAATTTCAAATAATTTCTTTGCGCATGGCTTTTTAGGCGCAAGTTGCGTTCTTTGGTTTTTTTTTGGTTGTGTTTAAGTAATCTCTTTCTTTAAATCCTTCCTGCTGTTTCTGCACAAGACATAAAATAGCCTTGGTTTTCGACCACAACTATTTTGGGGGTGTGACTTCTACCGCTTTCCTGCGACTCCTGATCTTCGCAAGGTGCCTTTTCAGTTGAGCACCCCGAGTTACAGTCAGTTTTGAAAAATCTAGGCAGGTTGAAGTGAAAGGGCATTTTCCCCTGAAATACTGGAAAAGGAACATCGTTTCTATACGCAGAGATAACGCTAGGAAGACTATGCAGCAAAATAACTTACCTTTGCTCAGATTGCAGCATGTGCATTTGGTTTCCAGTGCTTGAACTCTGCTGAAACGGGGCGGGGGCGGGGGGGAAGCCATCACTAAAAGGAATTTGGATTAGCGAGGTGTTAGCATAAACGCCTAGATATGGACACCCATTTACCACTCTCCCCATTTCAACCAGCTTTTGCATTAAAACATATAATGATGATACATGACTTCCTCAAATTACTATGAATTTATTTGAAACTCAAAGAGAAACTGGGTCACTGGAGCTCTGTGTCCACTAAGAGGCATGGGGAACGATGAAAAGTAGAGTGTGCTAAATGGATCTAGCATTAATGGAAAGTAATGAGGGGTACTAAGAGCCTATTGAAAGTTATAATACCCCTGAACATGTTAATAGTGAATTATGGCCATTATGAAGGGACCAATATTTTAGTGCTATTCAAGTTACCTGGTTTCTTTGCTTTTTAGTCTCTCGCTCTTCTTCTTAAAAGCTGGTCATTTGATAGACATGAAATGTGATGTAGCGGGAAGATCCTGTTGTTGTTGCTAGTGTACAAGAGTATTCGTTGACTTTGGTCACGTGAGGAGGAACTTTGTAGTAGGTCAAATATTGTTTTCTTCTGGCAGGTCTCATAACCGAGTGACCGTTGGCAATAATGCCCCCAAAAGGCCTTTTTAAACAAACGGTGCTTCCCATTTTTGTTGTTCTAGTGAACTTCCCAAGAATGGAGGATGACTTTCCCATCCCCGAGCAAGGCTTTGAAGACAACGACGATCATGGTTGGTACTGAAATGCCACGTGGCAATTTATATGGGGGAGCTTGCTTTTCAGTATTAGGTGCCGCAATTATTCCCAGCCCTGAAGGCATCCTCTGCAGCTGGGGACAGCAGAGGGCTGGCACAGCCTTTCTGTCGGGCTCTCACCGGTTGTGATAAGACTCTCAGATGTTTCAGTCCTTCCCACAGACGAGGCTCTGCCTCTACTCTGCCACACGGGGCAGAGCTGTGTGTGGTAAACAAGCAGGTGGTATACAGCAGGGAGCCTGGAAATTAGGAAACCTCGCCTGCATTTGACCTCCCAGTGGGCCTTTCCCGTAGTCTTGGACAAATTAGTTGTCTTTGTCTTCCGTCTTTTTACAATCAAGTCACCGATGTCGTTCCTCCCGCCTGTAGTGACCTGGGAGGTATTTATACAACCGGTTCTAGGTGGGGGCTGAGAAAAAGCAAATAAACAGCTCAGTTCAAGCCGAATCTTCAGCGAGCTGAGAGGTGATTTGTATTTCGAAACCCACTGAGCCTTCCTAACTCTCAGAAATTCCTCCAACCTCCCCAAAATGGGCTGCCTTTCAGCAAGTGAAGGAGCGCGGTGCTGCTGAAAACTTTGGCCGCTGACAGAGGCTCTGCTGCTTACGTCTTCGGGGGGGTTTTGGCTAAGCCTTTTCCCTGCCTCGACTTCGAAGCCAAGATGTCATTGCTGTATGGTTTTTGAGAGAATAAGTCTCCCTCCCTGCTTCATGGAGGCTGTCAGAGGGAACGAGTTGTAGGAGGGCAACCCTCTGGCGAGGCAGCGTGCTTGACCAATGCCTGACACAGGCGCTCCACTAATTCTAGGTAACGGGCTTGCCCCCCGCAGGGTCCCCCACGGCGTAGCAGAGGCAGTGATCCGCAGCCCACCGACGGGAAAATAGCAAATGACATCAGTGAATTATAGCCCTGTAGCTAAGGACTTCTTCTGGCCAAGGCAGATATATTGCCTGGTACACAGCAGTTCACCGTACGTCACTGCCTAGCACTTTGTAGAGTGTTCGTGCCATCTACGTTAAGCTTGTCGTTTAGGTTCTCTCAGTTGACCTTCCTGGAGCATCCAACTTTCCTCAACTTTGTAGACGCACAGGTGGCTTACCCGTCATTCGCTGCATTATACCCCTCTTCAGTGCTGAATGGAGACCCCAGGGGACATTGCCCATGTCTGCACATTTTGCACAGACAGAAAACAACAGGATATGGGTGCCTACTTGTAAAGTTAGACAGAACTCCTCAAAGTCATCTGGGGGAGGTCTTACAAACCTTGCCTTCGATGGAGTTTAGGAGGCAAAACACCCTTGAGAATGTACTTTGAAGTGGTGACTTAGTGTCTGGACAAAGACGTTAGTTTTCTTTTCTTTCTTTGCTTTTCCAACTGCAAGCAAATATATTGTATTTGTGTTAGGACCAGTGGAACTGAACTTTCGAGCATTAATTGCTGCTTGTGTGGCATTTTGACTTGCAAACGGAGAAAATTAAGCCTGGGAGCTGTGGCAGATTGTTCCATAATTTTGAACCCAGTCGCACTTGAAGGGCCAGAGTCTCAGCAAGTATAAAATGCTAGTACGCTATTAGTGTAGACTGAGATGCAAAAGGGACTTAGGGCTCCTAACTTTCTTGGGAATTGGGTGCTTCAGCACTTCTGGACTGGGTTAAACGAACCCTGCCAATATGTACCGACTGAGGAGCTAAGGTGACCTCTTTGGCCACCACAGCTCCATGTAAGAAATGTGTCATGCGAACAAAAAAAGTGATCCCTGGATAATAAATGCCCATTTCACTGCAGATTACTTTGGATCGGATAGGAACGACACACTGTTCTCTACTAACTCTCCAGGAACCCCAAAGCTGGACAAAGAAAAGAGCTGGCTCTACACCTTGGATCCCATCCTGGTTACCATCATAGCGATGAGCTCCCTCGGCGTCCTCCTAGGGGCCATCTGTGCCGGGCTGCTGCTCTACTGCACCTGCTCCTACACCGGCCTGTCCTCGCGCAGCTCCACCACCCTGGAGAATTACAACTTCGAGCTCTATGACGGCATCAAGCACAAGGTCAAAATGAACCACCAGAAGTGCTGCTCGGAGGCCTGACGGGCCACCTCGGGATCTCCCTCAACATTGCGGTCCGGTGAGGTGGGCTGGTGGGGATGACTTTTTATTTTTGCTGTTTTCGACGAGAACTGAATGCCATAATCTCAAGCGACCCGACCGGGAGTGGCGAGGGTGCGGGGAGGCGCTGCTCCTGCCACCGGCCACGACCGTGAGGCCCCGGCCGGCAGGACGCGGTCGGGGAGGACCGGATGGGCGTTTTCACGAACTGAACTGTGCGGGGCGAGGCGGGGAGCCGAGACCCTTGTTTGTTGGTTCATCTTCATTTTCTGCTGACGTGAATGGCTGAGCCGTGGCGCGGGAGGATGGTTTACCTTTTGGATGTGAGAAACTAGATGTTGTTTATTATTTCCCACTTCCTTTCTCTGATAAGTTGCTGAGAAGGCTGAGGGATTTCTTCAGCTGTCCTGTCTTTAGAAATAACATACACACACACACACACACACACATACATGCAGACCCTGTCCATTTTAGAGCCCTGTCCAGATACTGTTTTGGCTGTAGGGATTTGTGCACATCATGCTAAACCCAGGAAGCTGCAGTTTCTAGTCCTGAAGATGGGAGCAGGTTGTTGCCTTTGGCTTTCCCTCTCCTGGCAGGGAGAAAGACATGACGCAGGTTTTAGTGTCGATGGCAACAACAGTGCTTTCTGAAGTCATTAAGAAACAAAACGGAAAGGAAACCCTATGTGTAGAAGCACCTCTTTGAGAGAAGCTGAAGAGCCTTAAAGTGATTTGTGAATAAGAGCCATTTATTAAATCCAGATCTTGGATTGAAACAGCTGAGGCCTTCATCAGGAAGGCCTTTCTCTGACTCTCCCCATCCCTCTCGATCCTGCCCTTTTTTCTTTTTTTTTGGTAGAATGAGAAAATTGCAGCAAACAAAAAAAACACAGTCCGTCCAGTTCCCAAAGCTCAGGCTTTTGGAAAGGGGGCTTCACTAAGTGTTGACCTTGAGGTGCACAGCAGAGGCCTCGGGAGCAGAGGGGTGGGAAAACGAACCGCGGCGGGACGCTGAACCCCCCCCCCAACCGCGTGCTGGCCGGGGCTGCCCGGCTCTGCGACGGTCCCCTCTCCCTGGAGCTGCGGGCTCCTGCCGGCGCCGGCGTCTTCTCCCCTCCAGAGCAAAGCTACGCTGCTTCGGATCAGTAGCAAAAACCTGCAATCTGATTTATGAGCTACTTTTTTTATTTTTTATTTTTTTTTACTTTAAACAAGTGCCTTAGAAGTATTTTTCCTCCATCCGATGATCAGTGCTGTATCAGACAACAAGTGAGGCCTTCATCCTTCCCCATCGTTTTGCTGTTCTTCACTGGATCTCTACCGGGTAGAGCCTCGCTGAAGAAGTCTTATCCTTCTACTTTCAAGTGGTCTGGCTATATTGTCTCGCAGTCGATACTTCTCCACCTAGGAGTGTTATGAAGATAATTTCGTGGAGAAAAAGCATTCAAATGCTGGGCCCCAAACCAATGCCTTCATTTCCAATTTAGTACAGGTGCATTGTCCAAAGCAGCTTGCACGCATATGAAGTGAGAACTTTTCCAGCACACTGGGTTTGTTTTTTTCAGGAGCTCTTTGGAAGTACCTGAAATGTCCTGATTTTACATTAGCAAACTATCCGGGGTTTGGGATTGACGGGTTCCCCCCCTCCCTTGCTAACCATGGAGCGTTGAAGGTGCAATGCGACATGACGTCCCTGCAACACGTCCTCCAGGAAGGCAGGTGTCTGGGGAGATGAGGCCCATCTGGGGAGGAGAGGAGCGGAGCGCAGGCTGTTCGTCAGGGCCCTGGCAACGGGAGCAGCATTTGTCTAGCGTTTCATGCAAAGCTCCATCAGACAGCAAGTTTTTTTGGGGGGGAGGGGGGGAGACCCTTTATCCACCCTAAGAAACATGCATGTGTTACTGCTGAAGCAGAGTCCAGCAGCTGCGTCATCAAAACTTCCCACATTTTCTACACGCGCACACGCGGAGACTCACACCCCCACAAAATCCTTTATTTTTGTTAATTCACGCTGTGTGCCCAACAGAAACGGCAGTGAAAGTATCTCAGCTCCTCCCTTTGAACCCCCTTATTGGCGCTCCTCACGTACAAATTGCATTTTGCGGGGGGGGGGGGGGTGCCGCGCGTGCGGAGGAGACGCCCATGGCGAGCGGAAACGTGCCAGACCATTTCAAAGCTGGATTGCTGCTACTCCGTGATTTTTATCCCCTTCAAATCACACGAGAGGGGAAGGATGAGCAGAAACGGACCATACGGTAGACAAGTCGACTTAGGCAAACAATAGGTGAAAGTATATAATTGCAGTGGTAACGTTATGGTGTCTAGTAGGCGTACAGAGAGCAGCGTTCGTATATACGTAGACCCAGAAGTAGTGTGTGTGTGTGTGTGCACACGCGCGTGGATTCGCTGTCTGTATTGTGTCTGTGACTTATCCCGTGGGACTGAGTCGTGTTCGTGTACCTTTTGGCGTGGGATCTGGGCGCCAGCTGGGCACGGCTTGCCCCTTCCCCGCCGGTTAGTACAGGGACCGCGCGTGTGCACTTAGCGGGCAGGAGCAGGCCGAAGATGCTGCAAAGCCGATACCTCACTTAACCTCTGCTGGGTGCTTTACTGTTCTACTACGGAAAACTGTGTTTGATTGTAACTTTAACAGGGAGAAAAACAGAAAAAAAAAAACAAAAAAAAGGAAAAAACCAACAACAACAGCGGCCAAAAAAAACCCCCAAGAAATCAGTGCGTTCAACTCATTGCATCCTCCTCTGCAACTGCGTTAGGTTTGCTGATCGCAATTCCCTTTGTGAAACTCAGAAAAAAAAAAGAGGCGGGGGGGGGGGAAAAAAAAAAAAAAGAGAAGCCAGTGTTAACGCCGTTGCTGAAGTCCGCTGTGGCCTCCGCAGCCGTCGGAGGGCGAGGACGCGTTGCTAACAGGCCGGCTGCAATACGGAGGGATGTCGTGCGGTGGGAAGGTGCCGGGGGTGAGCACGGGAATTAAACCATTAAGAAATCATATGCAGAAATGGAACTTCTCCAAGGTCTGCAGTTCAAGGCGTTTGACCGTTCCCTGGCTGAGCCAGGACTTATGGACTTAAAGAGCTTTTACTGTGATTCTTCAGTGTAAAAAACAAAACAAAACAAAACAAAAAAAAAATCAAACTGTGTTTATATGATTTGTATAAAAACCTTTTAAAATTACTATTTAATAAACATTATGGTAGAGATTACGTTTCAGTAGTGGTTTTTGGCTTTTTTTTTTTTTTTCCCGATTTATGAAAGAACAGCAAGCAGACA